AGTATTTCACTCTCAAAGAACTTCATTTGGAGGTGTCCAAAGAAAAGTGAAGCCTTTCAAGTGACAATTTCTTGTTATTAGAGGCCTACTTGGTGATTCATATGTAGTTTAAATCATGGGTGGTGTTGTTAACTTTGCACATCTTGTAATACCATTTGGTATTCTTAGTATAAATCATTGGCGGTGTTGTTAGCTTTGTACATCAATTGTAATACATTTTGACTATATGATTATTCATGAAATATTGTATTATAGTAATAGTGCAATTTTGTTGTTTCTTTATATATTTTTAATTAATTATTATTTTTATTTTAGAAAACATTTTATAACAAGCATTGACTGTGGTCAATTAGTAATTCACAACGGTCGTAGCGCGTGGTGTTTAACTCTAATTGGTCACGGGCACTATCCGTGATTAGTATGTAATAAACAACGCACTTTGCCTGTGGTAAAAGTTAGGACTTTTTATCACATCCAAATACTTAACAGGCACATTGTCCATGGTGGATTGAAATTTACCACGGGCATTCACTGTGGTCAATGACTAAAATATCGATAATATCAGCGAAATATCGCCAATATTATCGTTTTTCAGAGAGACATATATTTTCCCACGTATCCCCCTAATTGTCGTCAAAATATTGCGATATTATCGAAACAATCGTCGTGGCTCCGTCGTCGGAAAGGCAGCCAAGGCTGCGTCGTCGCAGCTGCCCAGATCTCTCTCTGCAATCCAGGCTCAGACCCAAGATCTGCGCCTCCGTCGCCGGAAATGAAAAATCCATTTTCTCCGGATCCCAAAACTCGCTTGGGTTTGAATCAAACCGTTTGATGGATCCCTTTGCCTGATGGTGGTCACCGGGAGGTGAGAAAGGGAGGAGGAACCGTCCACAGGTGGTGATGGTGCTCGCCGGAGTGTGCGCCACTGTGGTGCTCGGCGGGTGTGGGTGTGGTGGTCTGTGCTCCGGGGGAGAAGAAACAAGGACATGAATGAGGGAGAAGGTTCGAGGGATTGGGGAAGGGGGAAATACGGGGAAGTGGGGTGTGTGTGTGCCTATCTGCTTTGGAAAGAAGACTTGCAAAGAAGAGATAGGGGGAGAACCGGAAATGAATGAGGAGAGGAATGAGGGAGAAGGAAGTGGTCTGTGCGTGTGTGTCTCTGTGTGTGTGTGTGGAAGTGGGGGGTGTGTGTGTGTCATCTGAGAGAAGAAAAAAAAAATCCAAACATGCTTTTAAAATACCCAGCCCATGTGTCAGTCAGTGTGTGTTATCTGAGAGATGAAAAAAATAAAATCCAAACATGCTTTCAAAATATCCAGCCCACGTGTCAATGATCGTTATCTATAACTTCGGACTCTGTTGGAGTGGGAAGTAGTAACTATGGTTATACTCATAACCAACCGTTTACCTACCTTTCATATCCTATTCCTGTTGGGATGGAATCGAGCGACTCATGGAAAGAATCTGAGACTCAATCTTCAAATGATTTTGCTTATGGACAACGTCAACCAATCTCGGATCCATATGGGTGGCATGTTAACAATTACATGCAAAACTATTTTGGGGATTTATCATTTGATGACTACTCTTCACAATACACTTACTCTACACATAGAGATGATGAAGATAGTCAAAATTTTGAACCTCATAGGAACTCTATGTGGTACTAAGTCACTCATGTATCTTACCATGCAATGTATAAAGTGTAAAATATTGTACTAATTCATTATATATAAATGATTATGATGTGTTTAAACTTCTTTCATTAATTACTACATATTTTCTATATTCACAATGTTTGCCAGCTCGCTATATAATCAACTTAAATAAGTTAAATCCATCATGCAATGCATTTCCTTCCAATTTTTTGTGATAAACTAATAGATAATTGACTAAATAAACATTCTGCAAAGTTTCAATAAAAATTTCCAAGTTTTTCTTACAATTTCCGTGGTTTTTATTCAATTTTTATCGATATCAATAATATCCCGATATTTCCATCGAAATTTTCGTGTTTTTGGAATATCGATATTTCCGATATCATCGATATTTAATACCTTGACCGTGGTAGATGTGGGTTTGCCTTTTAGTCAATGGCGAAGCCACGTGAGGGCGAGGAGTGGCAGCCGCCACTCCCTTCGCTGGAAAAACAAGGTTGGAGCGCTGGCCAGCCCCTCCACTCCTGCTGCCGCTACTCTTCATCTCCTCCATTCCATAACTTCCATTCAGTCTCTCTCTCTGTGCTCTTTTTCAATCTCCAATCAGAGCAAAAGGTGCAGCAGCGTTGCCCTTCCCTCGCCGGACACTCCCTTCGCTGGAAAAACAAGGTTGGAGCGCTGGCCAGCCCCTCCACTCCTGCTGCTGCTGCTCTTTATCTCCTCTGTTCCATAACTTCCATTCAGTCTCTCTCTCTGTGCTCTTTTTCAATCTCCAATCAGAGCAAAAGGTGTAGCAGCGTTGCCCTTCCCTCGACGGAAATCAAGCCCAGAAATTACCTCTGGTGTCTTGGAAAACTTGCAAACTGAATCCATGTTTGCTGCAGCGATGCGAAGCAGCTATGTTCTGTTATAAAAAAAAAAACCAAAAAGAAGACTTTTTAAACATTGTCGTTTGGCTTTAAAGATGCAATCTTTTTAACTTATTTGACCTTTACCAAAGTACCCACATGGGAGAACTACAATAGATAACCAAAAGCAAAAGCTTTTACCTTTATGGGATAAGGAGTATCTCCCTGGCAAGTGGTTGAAACAACAAAAATTACAGTGCTCTATTGAGCTAAGCATCCCTAAGTAAAACAGTAAAAAAAAAGAAAAAAAAAGAGCAGCATAAGTAAACAATTTATTTATTTTTTTGAGTGAAACGATAGCGTTAGTAAGTTAAATGTTAGATTAGCCATCGACGGGATTCAAACCCACGCCGTCACGCAAGGGCATAACACCTTTCCACCACTGTAGTAAATGGTCACTTGCACAATTTATTATTATTTAGGCATTATTGTGCTAAATTTTTCTTTTTATTCCTCTCTCTCTTTTTTGTTTCTTTTAATCTGGACTTTTTTATTAATCAGTTCTTATCATGAAATTCATGAATTTATGATCGTAAGCCATATAAGGTTTGGAAGCACTCTAGTATTTAAAAGAACTATATATAGGACTAATACATATAGAATTTGGTTTGTACAACAAATTGTACAAGGAATTCAACTTAAATGATCAAGTATAACAAGTGCTTTTCCCGATAAACTAGAACTAAAAAACAATAGGCATCGTAACTTTCTTCTGATCATTCTTGAAATGTGTAGTAGAGAGTCAATGGTTATCAAATATGACAACATTTTATCATTTTGCTCTTCCCAAAAATCACAATTCAACCTATATTTATTCAAGACACCATCACCAGGGGTATTTTGGTCATTTGATAGGTATTGATTATAACAGACATTAATATTGTCACACTATTTGGTTGTCTAAATTTTTTAAGACCTTTTACCCTTTGAAGTCCCGCCCCTCCTCCTGAAAATTCCTGGCTTCGCCACTACTTCTAGTGTCCCATCCTTTCCCTAATGTAACTTAAATAGTAATATGGCTTGTATTTTAAATAAGGATTTAGCGAATGGACATTCACCAAAAACCCTTCACATATTATAACTAAAAAACCAATTTGACTCAAACTTTATAAAAAATAAAAAATAAAAAAAAAACTTAATACCTTACTATTGCACTGTTATAAAACTGTTATTACATCGTTAATACACTATCTTCACATCGTTAATATCCTGTTATTACACCGTTGACACCATTTTGTAAGGTATTAACTAGTGATCAAACTCAAAATTTTGAACTAGCAGATTTTGTCAAAATCAGATTGCAAGAGCTTTACCATATAGGTTAGTGGGGAAACTTTGACAAAAAGTTGAAATCTGGTGTTAAAAGCTCTACCAAACGAATCCTTAGCCCAAATCTTCATTCAGATAATTTAATATTAAGAATGAACCATTTTGCTTGGTTGGGCGTAGCTATTATCTAGTGCTCTTTCTTGGGCATGGTTGTTATCTCTTGCTTCTTGCTAGGAGAATAAAATCACAAGACAAACCTCCGAGTACAACCCTAATCAAAACGGTCAAAGTTAAAACCCCGATTGATCACAAGATCCAAATGAAGGGAACCCATAATCCTTCTGATGAACGTGGTTTTTAATCGTAATTATCAAAACACCACCCTTCCATAACTGTACAAGTTGTTAATCACAAAAAAGACAATCCAAATCAGAATTAATGTACACTAAACAGTAAACACTGCTTAATTACTTTCAAATTTCAGTTTCAACAACATTATAAAAATACAATCATATGATGCTAATTTTATTAACATATTGAACTTTTACAGGGAAATGAATTGCTAGTATGATAGAATCTCCACCTTTGAACACTTTGTTCCTGCTTTAAAGCATAACCCACCCCCAAAACAAACAAAAAATCAATGAAATATTTGGGATGAACGTATCTATCACTTCCTTCTAGTCATGCCCGCATTAGAGCCTTGGTAAGGATAGGAACCTATCTTCGATCCAACGAACACCCACTAGTAAAAAAAACACTTTGCGCGACGCAGGTCCTTCGTCGCGCAAAGTCAAAAAACGTCGCGCAAAACTTTGCCCAACCCACCTTGGTCGCGCGAAAACCGTCGCGGCAAGGCAGTGACAGAAGGCTTTGCGCGACGCATGTTATCTCTTCGTCGCGCAAAACTACTTTGCGCAACGCAGCCTACGTCGCGCAAAGTAGTTTTGCGCGACGCAGCATACGTCGCGCAAAGTAGTTTTGCGCGACGAAGAGATAACATGCGTGGCGCAAAGCCACTTTGCGCGACGTAGACCTACGTCGTGCAAAGTCACTTTGCGCAACGCACATCCGTCGCGCAAACCCTTTTTTTTTATTTAGTGAAAAATAATTTTTTTTTGTTTTAGTGAAATTTTTTTTAAAATTTTTTTGATAAATATTGTAATTAAATTCTAAAGAATAATTAATTAACCAAGCAAAAATATTTAATTATAAAATATATGAAAATGTACATACAAGATGTCCAAACAAAAAGAAAAAACTACAAGTGGACTAAGTTTAATACATCAGGCTACTGGGTATCGGCAGGGCAAGGTGGCTTTAAGGTCGAAGGTGGAGTAAGATGAGGTGCTGGTAGCGAGATTTGGAGGCTCGACATCTGTATGGCTTGTACAAGTTCTTGCACCCTCCCGACACAGGTCTTCATCTCATCGCCCTGGGCCCTCAGCTACGCCATCATTTGCTTATCCTCGACCCTCAGCTGCGTCACTTCCGCCTTCAATAAAACACAAATACCAAAAGATGGTTCATATTGATAAAACACAAATACCATAAGCAAATGAAAAGAGCAAAAGTGAAGGCAGCCCTAAGTCTGTCAAGTGGGCAAAGGGTGCTTTACTTTTACTATCTAGGGTTTTAAAACACAGGTTGCCGGCTCCAGCAGGCGCATTAGTCTTTTAGTTTCCTTGTTCCACAAGAATTATTTAATTCTTCTTTAAGGATTTTAGGTTTAAGTCTTTATAATTTACATCCTTGTAACTCTCTGGGTACATGTTTAAAGATTAATAGAATTGCTAGAGCTTTGCTTCTCTCTAGGTTTGTGTGATGCAACCTTACCCTAGGAGTGATTCCTAGGAACCCCACGGGTGTGATGTTAATAGTTTCTATCCTTTTGATCTTCCTTTATCTTTCTTTTTTTTTCAAAATATTCGTTGTGCGTTCTTTCTACAACTCATAATTCAAAAAGACTCAAAATCGAGATGTTGTTCATGACGTATTGGTTCTGAAAACACAAACATTACATGCATGCATCCCAATCATGTATGCTACGACCATTGCAATCATGAAAACAAGTTCAGTATTTGAAAGGATTAGATCTTTTACCTCTCTTGTACCAATAGTTAAGTCTGCGAATCCAATCGTTGACTTGGATGTATAATTTTTGTTTTCTTCTAGGGTTGGCCACAAGTATATCAAAATCCTGTCAGCACATACAAACACATGATTCCAAATTAGCGCATCTTATGAAAAAAATCCCATGTGCCCCTCTTCTTTTCCTGTTGTTTGGTGGTTTTGAAATTGAAAATGAACTAGCTTTCACACCTGGAACTTAAATACCTGCTCTAGAATTTGAACAAAATCCTAAACTATACGAGTATGCTTTAGGAATATAATATTGACATTGAAATTAACTTGTTTCATGCCGATTTAAGACTCGCATTCAAAATTGAACACCACCCTAATCTCTTCAGTCACTAAAAAACAACATATATACATGATAGAGACTCGAGACTTACATTGAATTTCGGCAAAACCCCAACTTGGACAAGTCTGATTAGTCACTAAAACCCCAAATCGGCAATACCACCATCTTCCTTTTTAGCTTTCCGAAGCATACCTCATCAACCCAAGCTAATCACAGAGCGGTAGCAAGTTGCAAAACCAACCTAAGCAACAAGAGTGCTGGCAGTGGTTGACTCGCTGTAAAACAAAAGAGAATTCGTAAATTGTTGTATAGAAACAAAAAACAAATCTACTGACAATAAACTCCAAACATCGGCTGGCAGATATGCAAAGAAGAGACAATATGTATTGGGTACTTCAATTATGTATCCGTTCTTGCAAAGATAGGGAATGATAAAATGATTCTTCTTAATGCTTCCTAATTGAACTGAAAAAAGAAACATTCGGTGGTCAACACCCAATTACTAATTAATTAAGTGGTGACCATGAACACGTGAATAAAATTGTAGAGGTTAATTATACGGAATCTTACCGCAAAATAAAAATTGAAATTATGTGTTGGGCACAGTTATATTGAAGAAGAATAATTTCTATTTAACTGAAATTAAATCCAAATAAATGATTCATAAAATTACAGATTTTCAATCAAATGCGGAATATACACAACAATGTTATTTCTGATTTGAATATAACCAACTACATCCCAAGTTGTATCAGTATCAATGGATCCAACTACATCCCAAGTTGTATCAGTGATAAAACAGTATACTAAAATGAAGAAATAATATGTTCTAAAACTTCATTAGTACAAACAGTATACTAAAATGAAGAAATAATATGTTCTAAAACTTCATTAAAATTTTCCTGCTGACACTTTAATATTCAATTTGGCAAAACTAACCACCATTTTTTGTTTTGGAAACGGACTCAAAACTAACAATCGACACAAACGAAAGAGGACCATAAATATGCATCAAATAAGATAGTAATCCTTCCACCTAACCAACATAATCATTATTTTAACAATGGTTCACGGAATTATTTTTCAATTTCCTTCCCAGGAAGCATTCAGACAACAAAGAACAATGCCGCAAATCACTGAAACTAACCAAAACTAAAGGACCACACCTGCTCCCAATTATGAACAGAAGAAGAGTGCAAAATACATGACAAAATTATTCACCACAACAACACTCGGCTATCAGGTGCAATGGGACCTTTGTTTTTATAGGGGAATTTGACTGCTTTTGGGATTCTTTTTCTTAATTGATCACCTTTACATCTCTTGGTTGTAGAATTTGTCATCATAAATATTGTACCATCAAAGCAAAAATATTGTACCATACCCCACCACTATAGCAATGAAAAGCTGCTATCTCCTAGTTCGTTAGTAGTTTTTAGTGTTTTGGTGTTGCTTCCTTTTCTGTTTTGTTTCTGGTTCTTTCTTGTTTAATATAACTGTTTCTTCATCACAAGTAAAAAATAAAAAATCTTATATCAACCAGAGAAAAGAGTTATACTTAATAATATTGAACCAAGTTATATGAGATATTAGAATACCCAGAAAACACACATACAACAATACGCATATAAATTATGGCATTCAGAGGAGTCAAGAACACACATGTTGTCAGTATATGAGATTGTTCCGATGAAAGTATCACTCTTCTGTTTTACATATGAAACACAAATACATAAATGGGTAAGACGAAGGCCATGGCAGCATTATTAAAAAGCAAAGGAAGAACATGAACTCACCTTGGTTTGAGAGCTTGAAAGATATAATCAGAGCATTTAGCGGTAGCTTGTGCGACAACTTGTATGGCCCTGTACCAACAAAAACAGATAAATTTGTGACAAAAACCCTAAGTAACAAAAACCCATCGAAAATCAGAAACCCTTACCTTGAATTTGGGATTTGATTCGACAGGATTTGGGGTCTACAGGGAAAGACAGAGGGGTTCAAGGAGGGTTCCAGATTGGGGTTTGCGTGGAAAGAAAGAGGGAAAGAAAGAGAGGGAGATTTGGGGTGTACAGGGAATTGAGGGTTCCAGATTGGGTTCGAAAGAAGGGGAAAGAAGGAGGGTTCAAGGAGGGAGGGTTCCAGATTTATCACAACTCGGAAATAAAGAGGGAAAGAAAGAGCGAGGGTTCAGGTTTGGAGTTCACAGGAAAGAAAGAGGGAAGGTTCAATATTTTGTCCAAAGTTGGAAAATTGAAAAAGGCGCCTATTTTTCACGCCAAATTTATTAGAACTCGCGCGACGTAGGTTTAGAAGTAGACGTCGCGCAAAGTGGTTTTTGCGCGACTATCACATCAAGCCGTCGCGCAAAGTAATTTTTTTTCAAAAAAAAAATTATTATAAAAATTATTGAAAATGTGATTTTCCTCCTTTCAAATTCATTTTTTTTATATATAAACCCCATTTTGATGATTTTTTACAGCTATACTCCTTGACCCTATATGAATATAATGAATGAATTCGATCTTCAATTTAAAATATTTACACAAGTGGATACCACAAAATCTTATGTTATACTTAATGAAACTATAAATAAACTCTAAGTGTTAGTCACTATTGTTTTGATGGGATACGAATTCTCCGAAACTAATTTCAACGATCCCAACCGTCAAACTTGTTTGAATATGCTTCGAGATCACATCAGCAAAAAATCACAAAAAACAAAACATTCAGAGATCAAGTAATGGGACAAAGTTTTTCGACGGTTATAAACGAAAAATCACAATTTAACGGTTATTTTAACTCCGATTTTGATGATTTTTTACAGCTACACTCCTTGACCCTATATGAATACAATGAATGAATTTGATCGTCAATTTAAAATATTTACACAAGTGGATACCACAAAAAATCTTATGTTATACTTAATGAAACTATAAAATAAACTCTAAGTGTTAGTCACTATTGTTTTTGATGGGATACGAATTCTCCGAAACTAATTTCAACGATCCCAACCGTCAAACTTGTTTGAATATGCTTCGAGATCACATCAGCAAAAAATCACAAAAAACAAACATTCAGAGATCAAGTAATGGGACAAAGTTTTTCGACGGTTATAAACGAAAAATCACAATTTAACGGTTATTTTAACTCCGATTTTGATGATTTTTTACAGCTACACTCCTTGACCCTATATGAATATAATGAATGAATTCGATCTTCAATTTAAAATATTTACATAAGTGGATACCACAAAATCTTATGTTATACTTAATGAAAGTATAAATAAACTCTAAGTGTTAGTCACTATTGTTTTGATGGGATACGAATTCTCCGAAACTAATTTCAACGATCCCAACCGTCAAACTTGTTTGAATATGCTTCGAGATCACATCAGCAAAAAATCACAAAAAACAAACATTCAGAGATCAAGTAATGGGACAAAGTTTTTCGACAGTTATAAACGAAAAATCACAATTTAACGGTTATTTTAACTCCGATTTTGATGATTTTTTACAGCTACACTCCTTGACCCTATATGAATATAATGAATGAATTCGATCTTCAATTTAAAATATTTACACAAGTGGATACCACAAAATCTTATGTTATACTTAATGAAAGTATAAATAAACTCTAAGTGTTAGTCACTATTGTTTTGATGGGATACGAATTCTCCGAAACTAATTTCAACGATCCCAACCGTCAAACTTGTTTGAATATGCTTCGAGATCACATCAGCAAAAAAAATCACAAAAAACAAACATTCAGAGATCAAGTAATGGGACAAAGTTTTTCGACGGTTATAAACGAAAAAATCACAATTTAACGGTTATTTTAACTCCGATTTTGATGATTTTTTACAGCTACACTCCTTGACCCTATATGAATACAATGAATGAATTCGATCGTCAATTTAAAAATATTTACAGAAGTGGATACCACAAAATCTTATGTTATACTTAATGAAAGTATAAATAAACTCTAAGTGTTAGTCACTATTGTTTTGATGGGATACGAATTCTCCGAAACTAATTTCAACGATCCCAACCGTCAAACTTGTTTGAATATGCTTCGAGATCACATCAGCAAAAAATCACAAAAAACAAACATTCAGAGATCAAGTAATGGGACAAAGTTTTTCGACGGTTATAAACGAAAAATCACAATTTAACGGTTATTTTAACTCCGATTTTGATGATTTTTTACAGCTACACTCCTTGACCCTATATGAATACAATGAATGAATTCGATCGTCAATTTAAAATATTTTTACACAAGTGGATACCACAAAATCTTATGTTATACTTAATGAAAGTATAAATAAACTCTAAGTGTTAGTCACTATTGTTTTGATGGGATACGAATTCTCCGAAACTAATTTCAACGATCCCAACCGTCAAACTTGTTTGAATATGCTTCGAGATCACATCAGCAAAAAATCACAAAAAAAACAAACATTCAGAGATCAAGTAATGGGACAAAGTTTTTCAACGGTTATAAACGAAAAATCACAATTTAACGGTTATTTTAACTCCGATTTTGATGATTTTTTACAGCTACACTCCTTGACCCTATATGAATACAATGAATGAATTCGATCGTCAATTTAAAATATTTACAGAAGTGGATACCACAAAATCTTATGTTATACTTAATGAAAGTATAAATAAACTCTAAGTGTTAGTCACTATTGTTTTGATGGGATACGAATTCTCCGAAACTAATTTCAACGATCCCAACCGTCAAACTTGTTTGAATATGCTTCGAGATCACATCAGCAAAAAATCACAAAAAAACAAACATTCAGAGATCAAGTAATGGGACAAAGTTTTTCGACGGTTATAAACGAAAAATCACAATTTAACGGTTATTTTAACTCCGATTTTGATGATTTTTTACAGCGACACTCTTTAAACCTCTATGAATACAATGAACTAATTTGATCGTCAATTTAAAATATTTACACAAGTGGATACCACAAAAGAAAAAGCAATTAAAGAACCTCAAAAGAAAAGCAAAAAAAAAAAAAAACACTTTGCGCGACGTCACCTACGTCGCACAAGGTTTTTTAAAAAAATATTTTTTGCCCGTTTGCTTATGAATACAAAATAAATAAATTAAAATCTACTTAGTAAATATATATATACCATTGAACTAGATGGGAAACACATTGTACGAGATTACTTTCAACGATCCAACTGTCAAATTTGTTTGTATATACTGCGAGATGGCATACGCCAAAAATCGAAAAAAACAAACATTCAGAGATTAAGTATGGGACAAACCTTTTCGACGGCTATAAACGAAAAATCACGATTTAACGGTTATTTTAACTTCGATTTTGATGATTTTTTACAGCGACACTCTTTAAACCTATATGAATACAATGAACTAATTTGATCGTCAATTTAAAACATTTACACAAGTGGATACCACAAAAGAAAAAGGCAATGAAAGATCCCCAAAAGAAAAAAAAAAAAAAACTTTGCGCGACGTAGCTGCATCTGCGTCGTGCAAAACAACTTTGGGCAAAAGGGTAAAATATTGTAGGTTTGGCGCCAAAACTTTGCGCGACGAATGGTGACGTCGCGCAAAACAGTTTTGCACGACGCATGTAAACCTACGTCGCGCAAAATAGCTTTGCGCGACGTCAACCTTCGTCGCGCAAAGTGTCGTCGCGTAAAGACCATTTGCGCGACGTTTTATGTTTGGCGTCGCGCAAAGTCACTTTGCGCGACGAAAATTTGTGCGTCGCGCAAGATTCCGTCGCGCAAACGAGTTTTTCTACTAGTGACCGAAGGAGCAGCAGCGGAAACACCGGCTTCTTCCTTATTGAAGGTGGGAGGCTGGAACTCCGACCTTGTCCTGCGGTGAGACGAGCCCTCCGCCGAATCCTGGCCGGTCAGCAGAAGATGGTAGCTACGGTTGGAGTTGCTCTCAGAAGCAGAAAACGATCTGATCAACCTGTGCTGAGGTCTTTGCTTCTTGATTGCATGAAGAAGAAATGGAATCAAACCTTCCATTTTATTGCCTTAACTTGCTAGACGATCTCTTGCTTTTGCTTTTGGTTCCTTATCTTGTTGCAGATTATTGAAGCAGCACTTTGCTCTTGAAGAAGCACTTAGTTCTTTAGATATGTATTGTGATACAAAGCCGTCATGAAGCAAAGACTTATATACACAGACAATTGGGTGGTGCATACGAGGCAGGTAATATATGTAGAATGACGCTTATGCCCTTTGATTGTGGGCAGATATTAGAGTTTCATGGGGGCTTGGGGGTAGTTTCCGGGTAGGGTTTTTGAATGGAGGGTTTGCATGGTTGACTTTGCAAGTTGATGTAATGGCGTGTCGTGGAACATTTGGTGGGATTGCGATGGTTTTGAGTTTTCTTCACACATAAATCCAATCAGTAAGGTAAGGCGGCTATACGCGTAGGATATCCACTACGGATTGAATTGAAACTATACATGGCTAAAGAAAATATATGGTTTGACCAATAGGCGGTGACTTTTATTAATGGATAACACTTTTTTTTATTTTTTTTATTTTTTTATAGATTCTGTCAGATGATGTGATCAATTTACGTTGTAAAATAGATGAACAACAGAATTAAAATGTCACATTTTTAGAATATATTAGAAAAATATACATTTTGTAATTTAAATGAAACAGTATTCACTTAAAAAATATTCAAACAAGTGGGAAAAGATATAACAAATATTATTTCTCGATTGGTACGGAGGATTTGGCAATTGACACTATAATCACGTGCTTGAATTGACACTATATATGTACTAAAATATCCATAATATCCCGATATTTCTATCGAAATTTCAGTGTTTTTGGATTACCGATATTTTTTTGGACTACCGATATTTCTGATATCATCGATATTTTAGATCTTGCTAAGTCATTCATGTATCTTACCATGCAACGTATAAAGTGTAAAATATTATACTAATTCATTATATATAAATGATTATGGTGTTTAAACTTCTTTCATTAATTACTACATATTTTCTACACTCATAATGTTTGCCAGCTCGCTATATAATCAACTTAAATCAGTTATATTTATCATGCAATGCATTTCCTTCCAATTTTTTGTGATAAACTAATAGATAATTGACTAAATAAATATCCTGCAAAGTTTCAATAAAAATTTCCAAGTTTTTCTTACAATTTCCGTGATTTTTATTCAATTTTTATCGATATCGATAA